AATGAGATGCTGACGCCTATTAAGCAACACTTCGATATCTTTTGAGTAAAATTCCGCAGGTTTTTGTGTGAAGAAATGTTTCAAACGAACTCTGTGATCTATTTTTTTCGCAAGCAAAGAATTTTGCATTGATATCGAAATCGATCGAAAACGGTAATAATAGAATGGTGCAAGGTCAAATGAATATAGTCTGTGAGGGTGGGGTGTACAACAGATTAAGTTCCTTAACAATGTCCAGAACCTTTCGTTTTTATGGAGAACAACATTTCTTTTTCCTTTGGAGAGTATTGGACAGTTTTCGACCAAACTGTTATGGATCCTTTACAGCTTCTGGACGATAACTTTGATTAGGTACTGTACTAATCGAACCTCTGTAAATTATAATAAAAAATAAAATACAAAACTTAAGGCATAAATTCGATAAATTTACTGACTATCTTATAAACAAGGGAACCTTTTTAAAATTACCAAAGAAAAATAAATTGAGCTGAATAGTTCAAACAGGTGCATTGTTAGTGGAGTTAGTTTGGTTTGAGTTGTCTCCATTGGGTTCCGCATACAGTATTGGACATTTGTTTAATGTCGTTGTTCCAAACAATGATTTGAATGTGGTAAAATGAACCAAATGAAGTTCAAACAGTTTTGGTGCAATGCTGACTTCTAGCTCAATTCATGTCAGGCTTTTTCACGTATTTGTCACTTACACCAGAATTCAATGCTCGAGCAGAAGTAAAAAAGGATTGTCAATGATCGTTTTCAAAGCTTCCCACATTTGAAAAAGTTTCATTTGAAATCTTTCTAAGCGCGTCCTCCGATAACTTTGATTAGGTACTGTACTAATCGAACCTCTTTAGATTATAATATAATGCTACTCTTTTGTGTCAAATATAAATTCCGTCAGGTTTAGCCATGGTAGTAACAAATTTCAACTCATGAAATAAGCGTGCCGGTTCAAATAAAAATAAGAGCGCAGTATGATTCATGCAACGAAATAATCGTGCCTCGGAGAAAATTATTTGAAAAATAGTAAACCTGCCGAACCAAATAAGCAGCGTGCCGGAGACAAAGTTGAAGAAAAAAATAATCGGGTCAGCAATTGTATATTTTAGACAAGAGAATCATAGTGCAGTGCAATGACAGAATGGATATTGCAGACTATCAAGAGAATTCCGGTGGCACCAAGGAGATGACCTATGGTTCCTCTTGGCCGCTGAATAGAGATACACATAACATCACATCTGCATCCGGTTTTGCAAGCGTAATATTTGTAATTTATAAAAAGCAGCCCTCTCGGAGTGAAGCTGAAAGACTCTGATACATCGCACTCGAGAATGTAAGGACCACGTTTCGGATGAGGGCGCCGGAACGTTGGCCGAGGAGAACTGACGAAATATTCGTGTGAATAAAATGTAATGTTAAATATGAAATATTCATCTCTAGTGACCGTCATTAATCTGCACGTAATATGTTGGCCGGCACACCCGGTGCATTACACGCGTAAAAAGCGGTGTCTGATGAAATATCTTCCTTAATACTTAGTTTGCACCGTCTTCGAAGTGATCTCCTTGGTCATATATAGTGGAAAACGTTTCTATTTAGATACAGTTGACGCACGTCGAGATTCATTCAACTTTTGGGCAGTTCCTCGCATTGAATTTTTACTGCACTAGTCATGCATCAAATATGAACAGAAAGGAAACGATTCTTCGAAAATATTTATTTTTTCCTTTATCAATTCTTAGTTTTAAGTCACCTCCAATATATCGGCAGATATTCATGGAAATCATAGCTTGGATAGCTTCTTAATATGCCATTTCTATATGACATGAAATCAATCAAATTTACACGAACGCTGTTCGTCTGCTTTCAACAAGCGACAATGACATTCCGCTATAACTTTCCCGTCAAGTTTACGAGAAAGGCACTAATCTTTGCATTCCCTGCAGTTGACTGATAAAGATCAAAATGGCAATCAAACTCGACCTCTTTATCCTTTAAACTGATAACATTAGAGACCAGCAAATCAATCGAATTCATTTTAACGGTTAAAAAATATTGATGGAAACTTATTCTTTATATAATTGGTATCTTTGTCAAAAAAAATAATAAACGAATGAAACTGAAAGCGTAGAAAAGAGATGATGAATACCTTAATATGTATGGAATTAAAACTGATAATGTCAACTGTCTGAATATTTTTTTTAAATAAGGCAAAATGAAATTATATAAAAGAAAGTTATAGTTGCAGGACTAAATGAATGAAAGGTTCTATGCACGTGTTGCGAAATGCTGAGGGGGAACACACATTAATGCGTTTAGTGTTTTCTAGTTTTATAAAAAATGCTGTAAGATGAAAATAAAGCCTAGACGTAGTGAGTCTCATTAATACTTCAGCAGGTAAACGCGTCTTAAAATACGAAAAACAAATATTCACTTTAATTTCGTATTTATTTACATTATTTTCTAGCGGACTATTGTCCTTATCTTGGTTGTTGTTGGTTGGTTGGTCATTTAATGCCAACAAAATTTTTTAAATAGATTCATTGCGATAGTTTGGTAAAATAAGGTGTGTATGTATACATATATATTTGGACCATTTTTCAATTATTCATATTTTTGAGTACAATCCAACTTCTTTTAGGAAATTTATAATCTTGAATGGTTTTATTTTCGTAAAAAGTTTTTTTTTTTAAAAATTACTCACTTGGTAATATTTTATTTGCACTGGATCAAAATCTACAAACTATAACTGTATATGTTTCACTGTAAATTTCTCTTGATATGTAATGCATAATGGGGATCTAGTAAATAATGGTTTTTGGTCTAGTTTAGTTTGTTTTACGCCATATCAACCTCAATGGGTTATTTAAACAAAATTTTTATCGCTGGTAATATTTTTTTCATACATATATTGCTAGTAATATTTTTCCTTCAAAAAATCTATTTCTGATAATATTTTTTTTCAAAAAAGTATTGCCGGTAAAAAATTTTTGCCTAAAATGTATTGCTGATAATAATGTATTGCTAATATAAATTTTTTTACAAAGTATTTCTAGTATTAAAACCTATTTTTACACTTCATAGTGTTTTAACCACAGTTTGGGTGTTAACTATTTGCCCATAGATGGGACCCTAACAGGTGCTACCACCCCGGGTCAGGGTGGACCTGGGAACACCAGCAATTAAGAGGTGGTTCTACGCTCCTCAAAACCTCCTGATCAGAAGCCTTTCTGTTGGACGTAGTTTATCGTCTTACCCAGGACGCGGACGTAGTTTATCGTCTAACCCAGGACGCGGATGTAGTTTATCGTCATGCCCAGGACGGTTGTTATCACAACGTTTCGGGTTTTGTGTCTTCCAAACTTCATCATCAAGTGTCTGTCGATCTGGATGACCTGCAGCAGCCGCAGCAACTAAAATGGATAGCAGGTGATTCGAAGAGAAAAAAATATGTCATAATGAAGATGTTAACGCTCCACACTACGATAAATAAGAGGCTAGGAAGGAAACGTCCTATCAGTGCTAGAAAGAACGATAACAACTACTAAAGTTAGGAAACCTATTTTCCAGAAAAATTGTTTTAAGAGAAAGATTTTATAAATTTCAACCAAAAGCAGTACTGGTTGTTTGGTCAATGAACACCGAATGATTCCTTATAAGGAAACAGCTAATATTACCATTACCTTTCAGGAGATTTTGATTTGAACCATTTATTTATTTAATCTACAGAGGCACACTGTTGTCGTTTCACTATGTCAAAGGATATCTTGTCTAAATTTCATTTTAGTTCTACTAAGTTATTGCTTGAGAGATCCTTAGACATGATTAACGGAACGGGAATAATCTAACCCCGCAGATAAAATAAAGGGTTTGATTTGAAATTCCCTGAAGGTTATCCGGATCGAAAATCCCCTGTTGTAGGTCGGAGATCACAGCGGCTGAAACATTGTGATAACAACAAAAAAGATAAGGACAATAGTCCGGATGTAAATAATAACCCCTTATCCCATGAATTCAAACAGAAATATTCATATATTTGTAAGCGACGTATGAGAAAGACAAATAAGTCTATTCAATTGTCACTGAACACGCGAGTGACGGGCTAGATTGAAATAAACAGAAAAAAAATTATCAGAAAGATGCGATCGGCGTATCACAAGAATAAGGAATAGATAACATGCAGAGATTATATATATATATATATATATATATATATATATATATATATATATATATGTGTGTGTATATATATATATATATATATATATATATATATATATATATATATATATATATATATATATATATATATATATATATATATATATATATATATATATATACGGGTGAGTGTGTGTATTAGAGAAAGCGAGAGAGAGAGAGAGAGACATGATTGATTTGATTAAGTAAATAAATTGCTCACATTACACAAATAAAAAATATGTCTATATTAAATTATATAGACAGCTAGATTGGATTAGACAGACAGGATGACTGGACGGTAGCTTATTTGATTAGTTAATAAAGAAGAAAATTATGGATAGGCATAAATAAGAACGCCGATAGAAACACTTGCCACAGTGTAGTGCTAGCCCTCTCGAATAGGAAAGCGTTGACATTCAATTTTACCCCGCAACAGAACCACCATGTCTACAACTTTATATCGTAACAAGCGTTGCTATCTAAATATCTCTATAAATACTTAACTGATGGTATTTGCGTGAATGTACTGAAGTACAGATGTTTTAGTGCATATGCTACTAGTTTGGCATCTCGGTCCCACCGTTTCACTGTCGAAAGAGTTAAATGTAACCCTCTTCTACTCCAACAGCTTCTTCTCTCGCACTTTCCGAAATGTAAATCCCTATCTCTTACTTGCTTCCCTGATAACTATAATCTTCAAAAATTTAAATGTAATGTCAATCGACATCTTCTGTTGCCTTCATCCCCGTTCTTTTTATCCTCTTCCGTTCTTCTTTTTATCTTTTCCTCACCCTCCCCACCATATCCAATTTTTTTATTCTTACTTACACACTCTCTCTGGCCCTTTGCGTACTAGAGGCACTCCCGCGTTGATTGGGGTGAAATATGTAGGCACATCAATAAGTCCGTAGCCTAACGATGAAAAAAGAAAGCATTTGTTTTGTATAAGAAATATTTTTCAGCATAATCTCGTTCTATGTTAGTCGACTTACTTTAATGCTGAATATTTATAAAATGGGTAAAACATTATACAGTGAATGTTTCACATCGAAATTCAGATAATAACAATGTATCAGGCTGCGAACTTATTGATTCAACTTTACATATTGTTTGTTAGCTTTTCTATCGAGCAGACTAAACGACTACTGATATCGAAGTTTCAGAGAAAATTTCACTTTATAACTGTGTCTTGATACGATATTATCCATCCAGCAGCGACAAAACACACACGCATATATATATATATATATATATATATATATATATATATATATATATATATATATATATGAAGAAATATAGTCTTAAGATGTGCTATATTTATGGGATAAAGTGTTCAATATCAGAGATAGAGCGTGTGTAAATATAAAGTGAACATAGAAGTCATACTTACAGTCGACAGTCTGTTTCATGCTAGATGCAATCCTCAGGCCACCTAGAATGAAACAGACTGTTAATATATATATATATATATATATATATATATATATATATATATATATATGGGCTTTTTTGGCAAATTTCTATACCCATTTTTAAGGGTTTGTTTTTAATTTCTTTTCACGTTTGTCTTTCAAGATGTAATTGCTTCATATTTTATGATAGTAGCGTTTATTTTGTTAATCTGAACTAGGCGAAAAGTACTTGGCTTGAATTCCGGGATTCGGAATAATATCTTATGTTGTTAAGACTATGACCCTCCCAATAATGAATCCTGGTACGACTTCTAATTCTCTCAGAATGGCCTCATTCTACGGATTGAAAAGATCTTGTTTTACACTACTATTTATTTTTGTATATTTACTGAATTCATTTCGCATCCTTATGCAGGCGGTTTGATGACAGTATAAGTTCTGGATTATTCTAATATTCTTCTCACATATGCCAAGTTTGCCGAGCAATTCCAGCAGCTCTTTGTGACGTACTTTATCAAACGTTTATACATAATAAATTTATGAAAGTTTTCTAAATGATCCATTTTTTTTATGGGTGACAGAGAAGCATCAAATGTAGAGCATTTAGCAACGAAAGGTAGTCTATTAAAACCTGGTTAATTTCGTTTGCTCAGATCAAAATGAACCATCAAAATATTGTTTGATGAATTAAGTGAATGATACTCTTTAAAAATCACATGTGAAGCTATAAAGGAACTCTCCTCTGTGTAAGTTTGTGTAAAAAGCAATAAAAAAATTAAAAAATCTTATGTACATTTTAGGCACATAAACTTAATTTGTAAGGAATTAATGAACCTCGTTCTGAATCTGTCCTTATTTCTTATTCCGAGAAACGTTATTTTTGTGGACACAGGTATCTTTTTTGCTTTTAAAAAAAAAAATTATCAGTTTGAATTTGGTCTATTTATTAGCATTATAAGGACTTAATAAAAAATATGTGCTTTCTAGAAAGACTCAAAAATGCATCCCATCTCTGTAGAGGAAAACCCCGGAGTGCGTCTAATTTTTATTAAGTTAAAAGAATGTGCAGGCCGTGAAACGTAATTTAAAATGTTTAAAATAAATGAAAAAAGACAAAAAAGATGGCGATTACGCAAACATAAGCATTTACAAAAATAAGTTTTAGGGTATTAAGAAGCATATATAGGTGTATAAAATTATATGGAATTGAAAAATAAACTTTGTAAATATTTAAAAGGAGTCAATGAAAATAACATAATATAAATTATAATAAACGATATAAATAAGAAATAAAGAAAAGAGAGAGATAAAGAAAGAAAGAAAAAAGGAGAGAGAAAAAGAAATAAAGAAATAGAGAGAGAGAGAAAGAAAGAAAGAAAGAAAGAAAAAAGAAAAAAGGAGAAGAAAGAAAAAAGAAAGAGGAAGAAAGAAAGAAAGAAAGAAAGAGGGAAATAAAGAAAGAAAGAAAGAAAAGAAGAAAGAAAAAGGAAGAAAGAAAGAAATAGAGAAAGAAAAACGAGAGAGTTAAAGAAAGAAAAGAGAAAGAGAAAGAAATAAATAAAAAAGAAAACGAAAGAAAAAAGAGAAAAGGAAGAAAGAAAGAGAAAAATAAAGAGAGAGCTGAAGAAATAGAGAGAGAGGAAGAAGGAGAGAAAGAAAGAAGAAAAAAGAAAAAAGAGAAAAAGGAAGAAGAAAAAGAGAAATAAAGAAAGAAAAAAGAGAAAGAAAGAAATAGAGAAATAAAGAAAGAGGGAGAAAGAAATAGAGAACAAATAAAATTATAACAAAGTAGACAGAATTCCAGCGTAATAAATTATGCACAAGAAAGTAAATAGAACGAAAGATTGCAAATGCCTAGAAGGAAAGAAAGATCGATATGGAATATTTAGAAAGAAAGAAAGAAAGAAAGAAAGAAAGAAAGAAAGGTGGGAATAAAAGTGTAAATTGAAAGATGCATTCGAATTAACGCTTTTTGCGGCGGGGGGGGGACAAAAAAGATGACGTTGAAATAAAAGGGGGATTGAAATAAACAGGCAGATTTTATGTAACAAAAGAAAAATAGAATAAACTTGTACAATGGGTAGATTGGAATAAAATCCCAAATGAAATAGCCAGCTAGGCTCATCTGTTGAACTCGAGAGTAAGAATGAAAAGAAAAGAAAAAGAAAGAACAAAAAGAAGATCAAAGTAAAATAAAAGGAAATGAAAAAGAAAAGAGAAGGCTGTATTAAATAAGCAGTATGGGAAAGAAATTAGGACAGAAAATGAAAAGAAAGAAAGAAAGAAAGAAAGAAACGGAGTTACATAAAAATGGAAAGATGAAGCCTAAAAGAAAGTGAAAGTGATAAAGATTGTGCCAAAGAAACAATAGCCGGGATTCAAGAAAGAAAGCGGTAGAAAGAAAGAAAAAATATATGGAAAGAAAGTGATTAAAAGAAAGGAAAAGTAGGTAGAAAGAAAGAAAGTAGACAGAAAAAAGAAGTCGGTAGAAATAAAGAAAGAAAGCAGCAACAAGAAAGAAAAATATATAGAAAGAAAGCGGTTGAAAAGAAAGAAAGCTAGAAGAGGAAGCGTTTCAAAAAAGAAAGAAAAAAGAAAGAAACAAACAAAACAGTAGAAAGAAAGAAAGAAAGAAAGAAAGAAAGAAAGAAAGAAAGAAAGAAAGAAAGAAAGAAAGCGGTTGAAAGAAAAAAATACGTTGAAAAAAGCGGTTGAACGAAAAGAAAAAAAAACAATAAAAAGAAAGAAAGCTGTTAAAAGAAAAAAAGAAAATGGTAATCAGATATATGTCGCAAGGAAGAAAGAAAGAAAATGGTAGATCGACCGTGGTAGCAAACAAGAAAATAAGCAATAGAAAGAAAAGTTAGAAATCTCTACGAACCACTGAGTTCTGTCGAATTCTATGAGTTGTCTTTCAAATTTTCAGATTGCTCACCAGTATGATAGTGTTGACTCGTAGCCTAAACTGTGGTACATGTCTCAAAGACACGCTCCAGTGACTATGAAGCGAGGCAAGAATTATTTACTCTCTTCGAGAGTCAAAAGGATATAAAGAAAGAAATATGAGATACGAATGTGGCTTTTTCATCGTGAGATCAATTTCTATATTTATCAAGATTTTCCTTTGACATTTCGCTTCATTCTGTATTGTACATCTATTTATCAAGATATCTGTCAATATGGCTGGTTTTATTTTATTTTCGGATACATACATACATTGATACTTACATACATACATCCCTCATAAATATATATATATATAGTATGCTATATTTATAGGATAAGGTGCTCAGTATCAGAGATAGAGCGTATGCAAATATAAAAGTGCACAGGTAAGTCAGCACCCAGCAGCTTAAACACAATCTTCAAGCAATGAAAAATGCGTTTAAGCATGAAAACTGTCAACGCTATATATATATATATATATATATATATATATATATATATATATATATATATATGTGAGTAATGAAAATCTTGGTAATCCGTATGGATAATCCCAAGGAGGATGAAATCCGGTGAGCTCAATGTTAAATCAGAGCGATTAATTTAATTAAATGAAAACAGACAACTTTAAGGGTCCATTGGTTATAATTTATTTCCTCAGGGAGTTTCTTTTTCCTTGGATCATCAGACCTCACTTCCAAGGATGGAAAAAAGGAATTTAAATTTACCTAAAATTTTATATATATATATATATATGCTTGTGTGTATATATATATATGTATATATATGTATGTATATATGTATATATATATGTATATATATATTTATTATCTAATCATGTAATCTTTATTTATCATGTGACTCAATTACATCAACTATGTTTCGGCGTTTCTGAATAATTGTAGAAGGAAAAGAAAACTCAATTTTTTATTTGCTTGAGGTCGAGATGTTTGTGTGACGTCATATCACCGAAAATCTTGTCAGCTGCTCCAGGACAATTATTCATCGCTGTCTATGAAACGAAAACTTTATCACTGCTTGCGGTAGATCGCGTGACGTAAGAATTTCCATCATCGTACATGTTTTCAGTCGGACACATCACCACATGTGACGCAGGCCTTGCTGGAGGACGTGTGTTTTGCGGGGAGTCACTAATTTTAGAAAAAAATTATAACTATGGTTAAAGAGTATATATTTGCCAATAAGCACACTATCCGGTTTTGAAATCAGAATTGTCCTTTTAATAAAGATGTTGAAAAAAAAAATGGCTAAATAGCCCAGTCTACCCAGCTGTTTCATCCATCTGTTTCATTCATCCCTTTTGCACCTATTGGCGCGAAAGAGAACCTAATCGAAATCAACCGGGATTCGAACTCTGCTCGCCTATTTTTCTAACCATTACACTACAGGCTGATTGAAAAGTAACTCCCCCCCCTATTTTATGTATGATGGACTCTCCCATCTAAGTATAATTTTTACAAGACGAGAGAGTCTATCATACACAACATAGGGAGTTTCTTTTCAATCAATCTATGTATTCTCGGCATCTGTACATTGGTTTGAATCGCTATTTTATTCACTGCAGGACAACTAAGGTTTGTGCGAAATCTCGCGTCAACCGCTCTCCAGTGTTTAAAAAAGAAAAAAAAACAAATGGAAGGAAAGAAAAAAAACCCGAAAAGGTGAACAGCAGATCAAATCTGAACAAATGAGAATGCAAAGTTAATACAGTGTAACCCGGATATAAGAGACCCGGACATAAGAGAAACCCAAATTAGAGCCTGTGTTAATGTATATAAAATAGACCAAACCCGGATATAAGAGACTTCTTCTCCGGTCCCGACAACTCTCTTATATCCGGGTTACACTGTATAAAAATAGCGATATATTGAAATTATGAAAAGACGAGAAATTACGAAACTAATAAAGACAGAAAGAATAAAAGCAAGCAAACTATCTAGAAAGAAAGAAAAAAAAAGAAAAAAGCATAGTGTCCAAGCTGAAAATGCTCTTGTGATGTACCAATTTGAGGAATACGAAAGCAGAGCCTAACTTTTATTCAAGGCAGAGAACTCTGTTGACAAATATAATGCACAGGATCGGTAAAAACTGATTGGCAGTTTGCCGACTTCCTGCCACTGAATGATATAAAGTTGTCATGACCGACGTTAGAATAAATAGGTTATAAAAATAGCATCGGCTTGCTTCGTTTCGACCTCCGTTTGTCAGTGTGGAGATTGAGGCAAACCAGTAGCTAGTTCCACAGTGAATAGGGTGTATTGGTTATTGGCTGAACGATGTCTTAAATTGTACTTTCAGTGAAGCTAAAATGAATCTTTTGCGTGTATGGAATTTCGTTTCATTTCCTTTTTCTTTGTTTCGTGTTTTGGATATTTTGCTTGGATTTTTGTTTATTCTGTGAGAAAAAAATGCAATAAGTACAGGAAATCTACGTGCTTACATATCCTGAATATTTGTTACTTAGCTTTTATTCACTAAAGAATTCTGTTTTTTTTTTTTTTTTTTTTTTTCTAAATTACTGCTTAAAATCTAATTTCTTTGCTAATCTTTTGTTTTTCTTGCTCATCGATCCGAGCTGGGTTTATTCTCTCCTTTTATTTTGCTTTTAATTTTAGCATTAAAACATTCTTATTGTTTTTTTCTTTTAAAAATGTGCTTTCCTTTTATACTATTTGCTGTTGAATACTTTTAAAAAATCTCTTTCTATTTGTACTTTTTAAATAGGACGGGTAAAGCAGAGAGCGAGTTGAGATAAGAAAAGGAACAGTTTTATCAAACGCCTCACAGGCCTCTCAGTTAAACATGGCGTCGACCTAAATTGCTGGCTTCCATCGCTCCTACTTCCGTTTCTTTTCTTTTTTAAAGCATACTTTCATGTTTTTGTAGCCTCTTCTCTTTATTTTTTTTCACTTTCTCATTCAGTTTCTTTTCATTATACGATCAATGAATCCAGCCATCCCATAAGTGTTTTTTCGCTTCACCTCTGTTCATTAACTTTCCTTGAAAGTTTGTCTAAATTCAAAAATGGCTTTGTGAATTGGCTTCAGTGTAAGGGTGGATCACTCTTACAAAATGGAGTTCATAGTGATTTTGCTACATTGTTTCGTATGTAACTTATCGATCGGAAAGTTGTGTGCAACAAATACCACCATTGGATTTTGTTAAAGACAACACACCAAAGACCGAAACAAGTGAATAGTGATATTGCTGATATCTGAACCGGTGAGGAAGATACATAACCTACCATTTATAATGATGAAAAAATAAAGATCGGGGGAAAAAATGAATTTTTATTTTCTAAAAACGAAAATATGCCTATAAAGTATTAAAAAATATGATATACCTTCTCCCATTCCTTTTAAAAGAAGAGGATGTTGCAAAGGACTGTCTCTACTCACAAGCCCGGTGCATATTTTTCATCTTGGGCGATCTATGAAACCTCTGCTTTTCCGCTAGTTGGTCGTTAAGGGTCATATGACCGACCATATGCGATGTATATTAACTGGTAACGGGGAAGGAAAGTTATCTCAGCAGCAGTCTAAAACAATGAACATACGTATCTAACATATTGGGAGTGTGGCTGACAAGATACCCCACGAAAAATCTCTTTCTACTTGGAACGGCAGACACGGTATCTGGTTAGAATTTATTTCTTCAAAGCCTTCTTAACCAGGCAGTGAACTCGAGTAGATCAATACAATTCGTAAAAGAGTACTGAACTACTACATGATATTTGTCCTCCTTTACGGCAGCGAATGCTGGGCGATCTCTTCAAGGATGAAGAGACTCGTAGCGACAGAGGTATAGTTCTAAAGAAGGATGCTATGGATACCATGGACCGAACATGTGAGCAACGATGAGGTTTTTGAGAGGATGCAAACAGGAAACCTAGCCTTAACATCAGAAAGAGACAGCTGAAGTTTCTGAGACACGTAATGAGTAAGGAGGGCTCGGAAAATCTGTTATTCACAGGGCGGATAGAAGGAGAAGGGAAAGCAACAAGTGACATACTTAACGGACTTAAGCAAGTGGATGGCAGAACAGGGTAAATAACAAAAAACAAAACTTATTAAGAGCCTAAATGAACAGAACGGTGTGGAGAGCCATGATCTCCTACGCTCTAAATGGACACGGCACATAAAAGAAGAAGAAATGGCGACGAAAGCAATGAAATCAACTAGTTTCCTAGAGCAACTAACGAAATATTTCACTGACGTCGTACAAAAGTAGATAAGTTGCAATTTTTTTAACATATACGTTTCGTTCAAAGAAAGCTAAAGACATGAATGGTTGCAAAATGTCGATACTTGAAGAACATTATTTAGTTAACGCCATTTTCTACGTATTTTTCTAAGTTTCATATTATTTTTCTTTGTTACAGTGTAGCCCGGATATAAGAGACCCGGATATAAGAGAAACCCGGATATAAGATAGATTTTTCTCTGGTCCCAAATTAGAGCTTGTGTTAATGTATATATAATAGACCAAACCCGGATATAAGAGAAACCCGGATATAAGAGACTTCTTTTCCGGTCCCGACAACTCTCTTACATCCGGGTTACACTGTATAATCACCAGTAAAGATTCTTCCCGGTTTTAGTATTTTGGCATTTTAAGATACTCTATGAGTACAGAAAAGTCTTTATTTTTAAACCTATGTATAATAATAGTTCAGATTTAACAGCCTTTACCACAGAGCTGAGTTTATTTTTCTCTACATTTTTCATTAATAAAATATTGCGGATATTTCATTTTGCTTTTATAATAACTGATATTTTCACTTTTTACTATACTAAATCTTATTAGAACATGAAGCTTCATGATAGATTTTGGAAAATATTTTATCACCAGTATATTAAGAACCACTGAAGTAAATTTTCAAAAAGGAAACTAAATATTACATATTTTTCATTATCATTTAATATTATAATGTACAATCCTTTTTAATGTGTAAAAGATTTCTTTAAATAAAAATAAAAAGGATAAAAATTCCTAGGTTACATTCATGTTTAACAGATTGTAGACATTGTCCTTTTCCTCTATCATTCAATACTTCGTCAAATAAAAAACAAAAAAAAAAAAAAAAGAAATTAATCAAGTGTGGACAAATTTTAATCCAGGTGTTTCCTTATTTTACTCAGGTTATAATTACGTTTCTATCAAAAGAAACAAAAAATATTTAATTTTTTTAAAATTTATTCTGAGACTAGGAAAACCGTGACATTTTAATTGGTGGTGGTTCTTCTTTTTTTTCTTCTTCTTCTTGCAGTAGTAATAATAATAATAATAAGAAGAATTAAAAATACGAAAGAAAAACAGAAGTTATTTTATTTTTTTATTTATTTATTTTGATTTTGTTGACAACAAAATGTCTCAGCTGCATTTCTGTATTTTGAAATATCAGACAGAGATAATGAGAAAAGACAGCTTGGCGAATTTAACACTCCCAGAACATTAGAGGTAAGTGATATGGAGTGAAATATCAAATAACCTACCAAACATTGTTTTTAAGGCGTGACAAAGCGGAACAATGAAGGGTGGTAAAGAGTGAAGATTTCTTTAGAGCAACATGCGATAAGAAAATGTGGAGAGCCGTTATCGTTCACATATTGAAAGAAAAAAGTATATTCGAATGCCAAGAATACTATGGGCAGAACACGTGAACAATTATGAAATGTTGGGGGAAAATAGGAACGAGGAAATAAGAACAGTCAGAAAAAATTGAAATTTCTCGGACACATAATGATGGATCATTCATTTTTTTGCGGCTTATCGACACTCTGCAGGTTATTTAAAGCCACAAAATATTTTAAGATTGTAAGAAGTAATTAACCCATAGCGAGGGGAAATGGTGGATATCATACCTTTTCCTAAGGGTATTTGCGCGTAAGTGAATATAACAAACCCAACTGGAATTGGGATTCGGCACTTCAATTAACAATTCTGAATCCATTACACCACCCGCACATCCAAACTTACTGCACCTGGTACTTCGAAGCGGTCACCCATCTAAATAATGACCAGGTTCTATTTTGCTTAACTCCGGTGAACGTACGGGAACTGGTGTTTTAATGTGATAAAGCCGTAAGCCGATATAAAATGAGTAAAACGGGATTAACATTTACAAATCATATTGAAAAGCAAAAGAAACTTTAATGAGTTTGAGTGAATGGATGTCAAAAAAAGATAAAAAGGAGACCGCAAAGATTCAAAAGTTACCTAGAGTAACAAAAGAAAGGAAGTCGTGGAGTGTCATGATCGTTCAGGTCTTGAAGGTAAATGGTGCATAAAAGAAAGTATTTAACACGTTTTTTTTTTTTTTTGCTCCCAAAAGTGCAAGATAGAAAAATATTTTTCACATTTTTTATTTCATAGTGTTTTTTATTTTTGTTTTGTTAATTTTAGTTGTTGCTGTTGTTGTTTATCATCCAGGCGTCGGGCTAAAATGCAATACAAATAAAATGAAGGAGATCCTAGTCAAAATTTATAATAACTGAACAATATATTTGTTACTTTCAGAAGATAGATTTTTTCTTGCTTGGTTCCTCTTTGCTCAATTTATTTATTTTTTTTTTATTTTTGTATGTTTTTTTTTTTTTTACCTTATTTTTTGAACGCGTGATGATAGGCTTACAAAGCAATGTATTTTTGCAACTTTCTCACCTGAACCGTTGAGAGTGATGCAAATGCCGCGAGGTGAAAGTTAGGTATTTTCACGGAGGAAGCACGTGCACGCGATGCGGTTGTCTCAGAATTACTTTTAAAACTGTTGAATTCTCAAGTTCATTGCCGTGAGGAATGTTTCGAAAAGTTTGCCAAAAGCATTCAACTTTACACACTGTTCATTGATGTTGAACCTCCACCACTTTCGCCGAAGTGTTAATACTAAGAAAATTCGATAAGGGAATCACGGTGTTTCATCTCTAGTGTTTTGATGCATGAATCGAAAAAAAAAAAATTGAAGAGATAAATGTCTTAATGCCTCAGGGTAGCAGAAAAAAAAGTTTCTAATTGATGATTCACTTGATAACAAAAAGTTAGTAAAAAGTTATTGAAACTTTAAAGTTACATCAGAATCTAAAAACAACAACGCAAAAATAGTATGCTAATTTGATTCTTAGGACAAAACTGTCGACTATTTGTTGATGATTATGTTAATAAAATATCCCTTTGGCTATGTTTTTATTAAAATATTATTTATCCAGAAAAGCTCAACTACATTTTCGATTATTTCTTTAAACTGACGTTAATGAAACATTCAGAGAAATATGTTTTCATTAAAAAAAAATTACCAAAAACTTTTATTTATGCTTACGTTGATAAAATATCTATATAGACATTTTCCCGTATGACGTTTTGTGATGTCAACGAACACCCATTGCCACTTTTGTGATGTCAACGAATGCTCGTTGTAGTAGAGAGTTTATAATCGCAAATACAACTATAGTACGCCGTTGAACAATACTGGTGTCAGACGCCTTCGATTAACACACACACTAATAGTACTTGCTCGATAATACTCGCTCGAACAGTAACCCGTATAGTGATCAGAATAAAGAAATAGCATACTGAATAGAGTAGAGAATAGCGGTCCGTATAGTGATAGAGGATAGACTAGAACTAGCGATCGTTAATCGTCAGCTACTTCCTATAGATATGCGTTTCCTCTATGGTCACGTGGTCTACTTAATTCAATAATGCGATAGCCTGTGTTTGCTCATTGGCGCTCTATGTTCAAACTCAAGTGTTGGCAGCGACAATTTATTCCTATATAACACGTTGTTTAACAAAAGTAAAAGAATTTCTTACTGAATCAGTTACGTAATTGTTTTCTTACGGCCTGTCAACATTTATAAGTTATTTAATATCGAAATGTAAATATTCTATACACAATTTTATTTTCGAAGATAATGGTTTAGTGATACAGATCTTACTAATTAACCCATAGCTGGAGGAGAAGAAGTTGATTCATAACTTTCTCAAGAGTATTTGCGCGTAAATGAATATAACGAACCCAATTGGAATTGGAACTCGTCTCTCTTATTAACAATTCTTATCCATTACTACTCGCAAATCCAAGCTTACAATACCTGGTATTTCCAAGCGGTCTCCCATCTAGTAACTAACTAGGTTAGACGTTGCTTAACTTTGGTGATCTTACGGAAACCGGTGTTTCAACGTGATGTGGCCGTAATGCCTTATTGAATCAGTGATTCGTCTTTGTGGTATTGTTAAATAAATCAAATAATAATGAAGAATTTTTTCTCGAAGTCTATGAAAACCAATCGAGACAACATTTAGTAATGTTAAAAGGCTAATGCAGAAGGGAAATTATAGCTTCTCGTTTTGTTAGTTAAAAAACAAAGAACCAAAAATCATTCAGTAGTTTCGTGTTCAATAAAATGAATCAAAATTAGAACAAATAATGAATATTTGTCGCAGAGTTGAAAGCTGTGATCTTGAAAAGCGCAGTTCTTGTATTGTCCTATACTTAAATAATTATATACTTATTATTCAGAAATTACACGTATTCATATGGTTGTACAAATATCGCTGTTTGGATTCTCATTAAATGTTTTTAAAACATTAATGTTTATTTTGCGCAAAGGGAGTTTATTGCGTTTAAACGCTTACCAATATCCTATAAATTCAGGAAGAACTCATTTTCTTAGTTTGTGATTTTTTCTTAAGACATCGAAACGATTTACAGAGCAATAACGAACTTCAAAGTCACTTCTAAGTTTTCCCTAAAATTGCACAAAGCTGACCCTAGAAACTAATGCAGTAATCTAATCTTTTATATTTTTTACAATAAATCTTGTATATTTGCATATATTTTTTGTTTGCTTTTTTGTAACATTTTGTTGTGCGAAAATAACTAATGTTGCGTCCCTGGCACTGCTATAAAAAGTCGT